TTTTTTAAGGTAGAGTTGACACTGAAGTCGTTGCTTTTGTTATTAGACATCGTGTCCTCCTCTTCAAGCCTGACACTTTTCTTTCAAAAATGGAATTTTGAGAATTTGGGAATCCAGTGGGAAACTTTAAGTTACCACAATGTAAACATTGTTGAAAACAATCCACTCAGCTTTTAAGCGAGGAAAAATGACAGAGGAGAATGTAGCAGGTGTGATTTTGAAAGAAAAATTGGCGTTTAAAAATAACGTTGATAAATTTAATTTCTATTTATGAAACAAAGTCGAGGGGAAGTTGTGTTTATTAATATATCATCTTTACAAGAGTCTGACAATATTATTTGAACCGACATCAAATGAGTCACAGTGTAGGTGTTGACATTTCAGTGTTAAATGAAACAACCTTAAAATGACTGTCTTTCCTTTTATTTTCGATGTAAAGTCCTATCTATAAGGACACTTTTATCCTATTCTATTGGGTCGAAGTCAGCGGACCACTTTGCATCATAAGCGATGAAGTATTGAGTAATACCATCAGTATACTATTTACTTTTAAAAAACCAGTGGATGTGTATCTTGGATGAACTTACTTACATTCTATCCTTATCTTCAAGAAAATAAAATACGCACAACAGGATATTGACCATGACGGGGTGGCATCTGCTCTTTTGTCCTGTTTGTTTGTCATCTACGGATGACGGTATATTTTAATCAAGTTAGGCAATATAACTTTGACATTTGAATGAGGTGAATTGTAAACATTTCCGGTCTTCTTGTGCTAGTCTTTTTAAATTAAACTTATGTGTTTTCAGTCCTTACCAAAGAACCAGATAACTTCGAGTCTTTTGTCGTGTTTGTTTGTCATCTAACTTTGACATTTGAACGAGGTGAATTGTGAACCTTTCCGGTCTTCTTGCGCTATTCTTTTTAAATCAAACTTATGTGTTTTCAATCCCAACCAAAGAACCAGGCATATTTCAAACTTATTTTGAAATCAAACTTATGTGTTTTCAATCTCAACCAAAGAACCAGGCAGCTTCGAATCCACTGTTTCAGTTAAGAAGATAGAGGATTATATATTTTTTCATATCTCAATCCTTTCCTTTTCAAGAATAGTCTGTTTGGGTAAATGTTTGTTCCATGTTATTGCGATTTTAACAAAATTCTGTAAGGGTTATTATGCTGATAATGTTATTATTGAAAAATATTAATAATATTAATATTAGAATTTTGAATACCTTCATTTTGGGATTGGTTGCTGTTAATTGATGAACAAATATTAAAGTCATATTTGCAAGTGGATATTTTACATTTCATATCATCTGCCATATTGCTCACCATGTTCGCCCTTTCATCGAAGAATTCATATTAAAGATGTCTCTCGTTGTTTTTATTCAACATCTTGTCCTTTTAGTGCGAAATAGCAACTTTCTTTCTTTTCTTTTCTTTTTTTTTTATATTCATCTAAGTCACACCAATCTGACTATTAAAATACCTATCTTCCGTTTTCTGTCTTTTATTTCCTTCTTTAATTGACCTCGAACTTAATAAGCAGATGTCCCGATATTTTGAATAATTGTTTTTCTTGCGAAAAAGTTTTTAAATAATAGTTTCGGATAAAAGTTATTTGGAAATTCTTTATGTTTTAACGGTTTCCAGCATTTTGCATTGATAATGAACATAGGAATAAATAAGTGGGTAAATGAGTAACTATTAACCAAAAAGTTCCAAAATCGAGTTTAAGTAAGAATGTTTACTAGGTGTATCTGTATGATAAAACTTTCAGATTTCGTCCTCGATCTTCTCGCTCTGAACCTTTCAAAATGACTGGATCATAAAAATGAAGTATGCTAGTTCCTATTTAGTTGCTTTTTTTTCCCAACAGCATCACTACCAAGGATGTAGAGCTTACTTTGATCTCTACTGGTGGTGGTTATTAGGTTCGTGATAATAAGGTCCTCTATCGTCATTTGCCTATTTGTATTCAGCTGCGTCATCCTTTAAGATCAGTATATCAGAAAGCGCTCTATATAATATGAAACTATAATACACAAACAGATGATTGTCGCAGAAATTAAAAGAGATAGGGTACATGTTATACCATTAAGCAGGTACCAGTATTGTCAGTGATACTTTTGCTTTTAATGAAAAGATGCAGAAGTTGATGATGTTCAGAATTATTTGAAGAAAAATCTTTGCGCGCCTCCTCGTTACGATCTCTGTATAAATAAATTTTCTAAGACTCTTTTCTCTCGGTTCATTTCCAAATACTCTAAGAGATAGCATTCTTTGATTCTTTCATTCTCTTTTTACGGATCGTAATGACATTTGTACAATGATTGTTTACTTTACCAAAAAGGCTCAAAGAATTATAAAATTGCTCTTCAATATCACTTATTTTAAATGCACCGTCATGTGATGAAAGGGCATAACTATTTCAAACCTTAAAGTAATGTAACACAAGATATAAAGATGTACTGTATGCAATCTTCTTCCACCATAGTTTTGGTAAAAAATGAATATTGAAGTTACGTGTAGTTCATTTAAAGTTCCGAGACAAGTGCAAGGATAGAAATCGCAACCCCTTGATTAAGTTTATGTTTACTGGGCTAGAGAATGTTCTATATCACACTTGTTAGAGCTAAAAGGATTCGAAAATTTCCAAACGATCGTTTAGCCGCGTTTCTAAAATTTGCACTAAAGGCAAAAAAAAGCGTAAGGATTGAGTGTACTGTAAACAACAGTCAACCACAAAGGGAAGAGGAGATCGTCATTGCCATGGTTATGAGGATAGGAAGCCAACAGACAAGAAACTGAAAACATCATCATCATCATCATCTAGAACAGAAAACATCATCCCGGTAACCTTTCTTGCTGTTGCTATGACTTCAGCTAGGATTCGTTCCTGATTGAATCTTTCTCCTGGTACTTCACGTGACCAAAGTTTATTGCACATTGTTGTAGAAATTAGAGAATTATTATGACAAATAGAGGCAGGAAAATTTTGAAGACCATTCTATAAGCGTTTAATTTTCCCCCTCTCTTTAAAGGTGTCTCGAGGTCACAGTAGTAAGATGTGTTATGTTTCTTAACACATGCTTCAATAATAAATTTAGTCGATGAAAGAAAACCTGATACCTACAATATTATTATTAGCATTTTCAAGATACGGGAGATCTTTGCAGAGGTCGACTCACTACGTAATAGCGATCGATACCAATCAATACGAATAATCAAATTGAGAAGTCAGGTAGAACAAATAAGCTTGTCAGAAAGAACTTGCAAGTAAAATCAGCAACTGCATTTCTCCAAACCACAACCTGCTGTATGAAATGTAATGAATAGCCTTCATCAGTTGAAGAAATGACATAAAACCATTCGTGGCTTGTAGTGGTTTTCAAAGAGCTCTTTGGTAATAGGACCAAGTGGAGTCCGATTCGGTCTGTAATCATACGAGTGATGAAAAAAATCGCGGGAGTCCGATTTGATAATCACGAGTAAGTTAAAACCAAAGTTCATTGCTGCATACAGCATAAATTATTGATCTAAGTAGTGATTTTTTTTTGTTTCATTTTATTTGTTCTCTTTCAAAGAAAAGTCAATGTCACGTGCAATGCTAAACACACAGTACATAGATCCAAATAAATTTGATTTATTACTTCCTACCTAAAGGAAAGGCATGTATGGAGTATGAAAAGTGTATTTTGAACGTCCGGGTGAGTGCAGCCTGTAAAGGACTGTTGTCGGTAGTGGTGACTGACGTTTCGACAACTTGAGTGGAAGTGATCATCAGAGTTCATTTACTGTATGGAGTATTCAATATATATATGTTTATCATTATAAGAAAAACTTATTTTTAAGTAAATTGTCTTTCCCAACAACCATATTCCTACTGTCTCTCAATGTGCCACATCCTTCAGAGAAAAATATAGGAAATTAATTTCCATCAATGAAAAGGGGCACATTTAAGAAAGAATTAGCGGTGAGACTGAATTCAAAATATTGAGGAGCACCAAACAAGTAAATGTGTGCATATTGCTAGGAAAGTAGAGCAAGACGAGTTGAAATATTCATGACAACATGGAAAATCTTAGAACCGGTAGATATATGCTATGCATTTATTTTGGTAGAATAATCTTCAATATTATCTTATTGTCAACAAGTGATTCATTATCACCTCTATATAATAATTATTTGTCCGGTCTTTGACACAAAGGATCCTACGCCCTCAAGCCTTGTAGTTTTTGATATGTTTCCTGACCATCTGTTTTTATGTGATTTATCCCTCCTCTCTATGTCTTTGTATGTGTGTTGCTGGCTTACTTAATAACAACTTAGACCCACCCCATCGAATAAAAACGTACCCGCGATAAATGTTTAGGGTTGTTCAACCGGTATTTCCTGCAGCTCGATATTTTTAGCTCGGAAATGATAAACAGCAACATCAACCCGTGATCTCTTACAGAAATTTCTACAATGATTTTTAAATCCGTTTCGAAAGTTCCTACCGTAGATGAAGTAGACAAAGGGATTGATTCCGCTGTATGCAAATGCTACTAGCAACAGACTTGAAGCTAACTTATTTGGATTGATGTGCACATAACCAAAAAATTTCAGCGTGATTCCGATGTAAAAAGGAAAGAAACACAACAAATACAACGCCACGAGCGTAATCATCATCAGTGTAACTTTTCTTGCTGTTTTAATGGCCTCAGCTTGTCTTCGATTTTGATTGGTTCCTTCTCCTGGTACCTCACGAGACCATAATTTAGAGCAAATAATCCCATAGAGAAACGCAGTTGTAACAAGAGGCAGGAACAAATTCAGAGTCACAGTGATAGAGTAAAATAGTTTCCACTGTTCGAAGATGTGTTCTAAATGGCAAACGAAATGGTCTCCAGTCCTTTTCATGCTTCCCTTAATAAGAACATCTGCAGAAGAAGCTAGCGACCATATCCACAGTGTAAAAACTATCTTCTTTAAATGTTGTGACAAAGGCGATGTGCGCATAGTTCGAGTCACCGCATAAAAGCGATCAACAGCAATAACTGCAAGAATCCAAACAGAAAAGATGGTTGGAAGAAACAAGTTCGCCAGAAACAACTTGCAGGTTATCAAACCTAAGAATCCTCCAAACCACTTATTTCCCATTGAACGAAAGGCAATATTTATTAATTCAACTAATGTTCGGTAGAGATCACCGCAAGCCTGATTCAAAATCAAATAGTTGGTGGTAGTTTTCATGGAGTTATTTGTTCGTATGATGTGGATGATCATCGAGTTCCCGAATAGTGACGCCAATATGAAAATGCTATAAACAGCAGATAACACGGACTGAAATTCCATATCTGTAGATTGAGTGTCATTCGTAGCACTGCCTGAAATAGAATGAAATAGACATCTTTTTAGGAAGGGAAAGGTTATCAGTATACTAAGCTATGTTTGCTCAATAAAATAATCGAACGGAGCAGAGTTCTCATTAACGCACAGTTGTGCGTCTTATATGTACAAAAAATTAAAAAGGAGGCACAGTTTCTTGCCAATGTGCGTCTTCGGGACGCAGGAAAAAATTTCCGACTTGTTAGGAGACTAGGTCTGGCGGGCATTACCCAAATATCACTGCGATCATCATGGCATGTCCCTGGACACGCCATTTTGTCACGGTTAAAGGCATGTCTACTCAAAAGAGTTTATTTGATATCTTCGATATTCGAAAGAGGAAACCTGAAAGTGACGCAGATCTGTGGGATGATACCCTAGTGAAGAAACCAAATTTTTTTTCCTAAATGGCTGGGGGAGTTTAAATGGTTGAAATATGATTCGACCAAAAAACAAATAAAGGGAAAAGTTTGTCTTGATACGTATGGTTGTAAACCTAAACCATCGCAAAGTTTTTTGCATGGAGCAAATAATTTCCAGCGTTCAAGTCTGACACGACATTAGTCTGGCGATGACCAAGTCGTGGCCATGAATATCATCAAACAAAGAAGATCTCACGAGACTGTTGTGCGTCATGTTCAAGAGAAGGTAAGTACGGTATTGAAGGCTCCAGTAAGCACAGTTATTGTCATGAGAAAAGAGGAAATTCCTGACAGGAAATCAGATTCAGTGATTGATTTTAAGGTTAGTTTTAAGTTTATTGATTTCCTTTAAGAGACAGGTCGTCCCTTCTCGTAATTGTTTTCTTGTTGGTTATTTATTGTTTATGTGTGGCGTTGATTCTTAATTCACAGATCGCCAATGGTTGCTCAGATCTGAAGAAAAGAGATGGGATTTATAGACATGAATCCACTGCCACTGAGTTACAAAACTGTATTTCTGAAGCGTGTGAGGAGGATACTCTAAAGAGAATCAAAGACAGTCCTTTGTCTGCCTGATGTTGGATGAAAGTCTTGACATAGCTGTACATAAAAGTTCCATTTTTCAAGATACTTGTTCTGGGAAGTCCAAGATTGAATTTGCTGCTAATGTTGAGGTTAAGGATTGTAAAGCAGAGACCATCTTTTCTGCAGTTCTAAGTTATCGTAATTCAAAAAACATTCCAATGAAAAAGCTTTCTAGGTTGGGAACAGATGGCGCTTTAGTAATGGCAGGTTGTCATAATGGTTTTGCTGTGTGACTGCAAAGGGTAAATGCCAAAACTTTTTCTGTTTGATTTGTTGCTCCCAAAATAACCCTAGTTGCACGTTGGGCTTCCAAGGCTGTCCCTGACCTGGTTTACCAGATGGCCAATCTAAACCCTGCCAAATTACTGGCACAGCAGTTGGAATTCGAAACCATGGTACCGAGAATCTAGAAAGATTAATTGAGTGATACGCTGATGCATCTGAAGAAGAAAGTCTAATTGATGCTGATGAAGTAAGAAATTCATTTATCCAGTTTAAGCAATTCTCAAAAGTAACGAGGACAACCCTCTTAAAGAACTGCGTGAAATTCTTGCAAAGCCAGGTGTTTACGAAGACATATCCCCTTCATTTGTAACTCTAACACAGGTTTTCTAAACAATTCCTCTCACTTCTGTACCTTGAGAAAGATAGTTTTCTGCACAAAATCGAATTCACGCGGCTTTGAGAAATAAAATGTCCCCAAGTGCAGTTGAATGTAAGATGCATATTTCTTATGCATACAAAAGACATGTAGATGAGGAAAGTTTTGGTGATAGAGCAGTAAAGAAATTCAACAAAATGAAGAACAGAAGAAAGTAAAACTGTAGAATTACACTTGAATATGACTTGATAATTGTATGTCACATAATTTTTGGTTTAATATTACTACATATATTATTAACTATGACAAGGTGAGACTCTTACTAGTAATGCAGGAACTGTCGGTATTAAGAAATACGAGCACACTTTATTCCAAAATTAAAGCTTTATTAGCTGTGCTACCACCCGGTCTTGGTTTTTGTCTCTGTTAAAAACTACAGAATCAAATTTAAGTAGTAGGCAGGGTACCTCTAAAAAGCTATAGGGACCCTCAACTTTTTGGAACTAGGGGTCCCAAGGACCCTTAACTTGTGGGATTGCTGCGGAGGTGTTGTTTATTTTTAACGAAATTTGAGTTCCCCTTAGGGACTCTAATCACAGAGAGTCCCGGTTTTATGGTCCTTCGCTCTAATCGGTTTCTAATCGGTGAACTGAGACTCGCAAAAATCGTTTGGTCCTACAAACTGCGAGGATCAGTTAATTCCAGTAACTAACCGTTCGGGGATACGGTGTTAAAAATATGGTAATCTTTAAACTCGATTGTCGAATAAAGAGATTAATAAAAAATTTGTAATGAGTGTGGGTCCTTAAAGTGGGTTATTTGGCAGTCTCTAATAACTTCATGTTTGACACAACATAGTGCATGTTTAAACCATATATAGTATACAACGACACGGTAGTTTTATATCACGTTAAACTTTATTATTAAACAGATTTGACTACGCTGCAAGCCTAGCTAACCACATAACCATAGGGGGAAAAAGCAGAAGTACATGATCTTCATTTTATTAGGACAACTAATTATGATTTGAGAAGCAACAGCTTGTTTACTGTATGTTTTAAGTGCCACAGCCAAAGCTATGTTATCATTGAAAATTTACCTTTCAACTGCATCCCACTGCTGCCGTTAAGCGTCATATGTGTGTGGAAGACACTTAGGTTGTTCGCAAAAGTCAGGTCCATCTTTACGGACTGCAATATATCTTTATTGCACTGCAAAAGACGGACATATGTTTCATTTTATTTTTTTTTCAAGCTGAGATAAAATCTTGCCATGACGCCTTTCTTATAGCTGTATTTCTTTCTGCGGAAATTTTTGATTTGATATTTGAGGAATTGGACCTTATTTGAAATATATCCGAGAAAACAGGATATTTAAATACTTATTTTACCTCTTCTTTTATGTCTTGTTGCATTCAAACCCAGATTGTGTCCATGACATTTAATGTCTCTCCTCTGTGTGTGGTGGAAGAGGGATCTAAAATCGTCTGTTTAAATTTGGTTTTACTCATCTCTCTATGAAGTTTTTATAAATTTGTATCTATCATTACCACATTTTACGCTTCTTCCAAAAAGAACGTATATAGGTTACGAAACACACGGTTACGTCATGTTTTCGATATAGTGTTTTCCATAACTTACGTTAATCCTTGTCTGCTATTCTTCATTCATCCGTGAAGCTGTAACCTTTTCTTTGAATGAAACATTAAATCCATTTATTACTCGCTTTCCCTTCTTGGAACGCCAATCGATTTTAACGCAAATTGAAATTTCTTTTTCCTCTTTACAGTTGTCTGATTTACAGTTTGATTCCAATAACGCAGGTGTTTCTCTTGTCTTGCTCGGTTTCTAAACTTGATAATGAAAATATTGATTTTCTAATCTCGTCTCGATTCCATTTCCTTGAAAGTTTTTTTTTTCCCAGTAGTTGATTTGGAAGCGGGATAACAAAAATTGCTGTCTAAGATATTGAAAATGTACCAGAAATTATATCCATAAGTCTTAATATTTTGTACTCACTCTTTCTCTGTTGCAAAGTTAATGAGGAACTTGAGAGAAAACTGAATATATTTTGGCATTTCAGCAGTTTTTGTGGAGATAAATATTTTATTATCAAAAGGAGCGATAATGGATAAAAGTGACAAGTATTGGAGTTGTAGTGATAAAGAAAGCCTTTGTTTAAGAGGTGATTCAAATCTATTCCATCTGCAAGCTTACTTTTTGTGTCTATAGCGATATTACCGTTGGCCTTCATTACACATGGCAACACATATGAACGGAAATTTACTTTGTGATTTATCTAGCTCATGGCGGTTTGAAATTGAAATATTATTAAGATGCTAAAAGATCTGAGTGAGGTACTGGCAGAAAATAGTTTAAAAAAGAGAAAAGCTCAAAAAAAAGCTAGTATGTCGTCATGAATCATTTTATGTCTGAAAGCAATAGTCTTTCTTTGCTATGCCTTTCTTTTACTTCAAGTTTTCGTCCTGGGCGTGAACTAGCGAGCTTGAAATTCATGAAGTAACCAATATGCTGCTTGGATTAGAGTCTAAAAATTTGAAAACTTTCTCTCCTATGGTGACTTCTGATTTGCAGTATAGGACATCATAGGTTTTCGCTGTCATTCTTTAAGAACATTGTACGTCAAATCGATAAAATGAGGGTAGCAAGATGCTTGTTTCCCACAATTCAGGAGGTTTCAATAGTTTACTCTTCCATTAAAGAAGACAATACAACCATTTTAGAAAACGTATGTAATTTTGGAAAAGCAAAACTAGGAGGTAAATAATTGAACATATTTTAGTTAAATTTTTTTTAAGTCGACAAAAGCTCACCAGCCTGTTGTAGACTTCATCCGTCGTTTATTTCACTTGAGGGTTTGCCCAGTTTTGGTCCAATCGCAGTGAAAATAAAGTTTCTGCGGGCTAATCAATTCAATGTACTTGCTTACGCCAATCGCGCATATCTTTCACCAGATCAACACTTACTTTTTACGAGCGTTTTTGTGCCATAAGAAAATTAATGGAGGGCTTAAAAACAGTTAAACCCCCTCTGGCGTGCTGTTTTCTCGGTTGAAATGTCCTCAGCTGAGAGATTGTTATGAGAAGTTCATATTTACCCTCAAAGCTTCGTTTCTAGGCCAAATAGGTATATATTTATACAAGAAGGGATAAAACAAGTGGTTTGACAAAGAAAAGGATAAAATCAGGGCATTCTTTTTATTATGGACAGATTTTCCAACAAGAGAATTATTTACTAAAGTTGTTATTTGTGGAAGCTCGTCAAAAACTTCCAAACGAGAAACCAAAGAGAACCCCAGGAATTTTTCTAGAGGCTGAGTCTCCTTTTAAACTTCTTCTGAAAAAAAAAAATCGGGGAGCATATGAGTACAATTACTTTACAGTTAAAAGATAATTGGTACAGGAGGTCTCAGTTTGGAAATTGGTCTGGTCTTGTCATCTATTGTACTAGTGTAGTTTAAATTGTTTATACAGGCCCCCACTTAAACCAGCTTTACTGGTTACTTACCAGCTCGATTAGCTGCACTGGGGCAGCCTTTTTCAATGTTGCAAATAATTAGATGGATAAACTGATAAATATATTCAATTATTAATCATTCTTTAATGCACTTATTGTGAATGATTTGTACCAAGGTCTGGTGCCCTAATGTTTCCGTTTTAGCCATTTTAGGTGTGCTCGTGATCATATTGGGCGACTGCCTTAAGGGATTATTTCAAAAGGCATGGCTGAAACTGGGTGTTTAGTTTTAATTTAGATATCAACCTACTGTTATCACCAAGTTCATAAACAAGATGAATTTCATGCCTAAAAGCTTGAAACTGTCCTTATTTGTAAACGTGAGCCTCGAAATTTTATAGTAAGGGTAATGGCTGTTTGCTCCATGAGAAGACATCATAATTTCTTATGTTGGAGCGTTCTAAGAGGCTGAAAATCTAGCTGTTAACTGTTCAATTTCATACGATCATTCTAAGAAAGCCTTAGAAATTACATCGGTCACCCTTCGAGTGAACAACTAAGAGCTTGCTCTGATATCCTTTCCGATACATTGAGAGGAAGGCCTCCTCAGTCACAACAGGCGAGTTTTACGGCGGTGTCGTCCCAAGTAATCTTCATGAATCAAATCAGGAATACAAATCTCAAATAGGTATGAAAGAGTGTTTCTATGGCACCTCATTATGTAAAAAATGATCAAAATTTGTTAAGTAATAATTGGACTATCTTAGATACTCTTCGCGAAAACAAACGAAAAATTAAGGTAGTGGCGAACAGTCATAGGATAGGTCTTCAAAAATAACGAAACCTCTTACCAACATGGATACCCCATCTTCCGATAAGTTTACCCTTACGGACTGAAATTGGTAACATGCCTACATTTTCCTAAGGCAAAACATGTATTACAAAGCTAGAGCTCGTATTCGTTCGTGGATAGCTTATCATAAAACCAGCTGGCTTAACTGTTACGATTTATTTAGCAAGTACATTTTTATTGAACTAGTGGTTGTGATACCCCAACATTTATGACTAAATAGAAATATCGAATGCAATACAGGATGATAAAAGACACGACTCCGACTCTCACTGTTATACTTTGTTCTGTATTACTCTTATACTCTTATACTTTGTTCTCTTCTTCTCTTACACTTTGTTCTTCAGAACAAAGTAAAAGGCCAGGTTACATCGCTACCAACATCGATCTGGGAATTAATATATTTGCAAAGTATGATGTATGTTAAAAGTTGAAATTAAATAGAAATGGCTTCACTTTTATTTGGAATTTTCGGTGTTTTACATGGTTAAAATAGGTGATGGTTTAATCTATAAATCCTTTTCAAAAAATGTAATTCCGCTTTACTCGAAGTTAACCGTTCAATAGTAGAACGGTATTTGTATGCATGGTCACGTTTGGCGATATATTCAGCAAATATTGACTTACAAAAAGCTGTAAAAAGCTTAATCTTTTTAAAAGGTTTTTTCCCTGTAATGGACACGTTTTTGTGGCTGAAATTGTTCAAAATTTAACCTATATGCTAATTTATGATGGATTTTAATGTTACTGTGCCTTTATTTCCTCCATTGCTGAGTCTTTATGGTCTCTGCATGCATGTTCACGTCTGATAGCATTGCGATTGATTTGGATCAGTAAGCTTTTTTTTTTATCCTATGTCGTTTTTCTCTAAACCTTACCTTGGAGATTGAGCTCTCGCCACACATCTCCGAAAATGAATTTTAAAATTTCAAAATTTCAAAATTTCAATTTTCGAAACAAAATTAAATTAACCTTTCTCTGTACATCAATCTTATTTTTCAAAATTAACATATATTGTTATATTTAATAGATTTTCTGATAAATTTCTATGCTGTTTTATCAATGGATATTGTAGCAATATCTATTAGAGAGAATACCTTTTGGTGCGATTCACACTTATGGGAGGTATCAAGAGTATAAAGCTTCCTTCTTTTTTCTCACTTCGCAACAATAAGATCTAATGTTTCCAAACAATTTTGGCACATTTTCCATTAAGCACCACGGCAACCTCAGATCGCCGATGGCTTTTCGATTATGGTTACATTTATAAACAACATAACACAATTTCCTCTTTGAAACTTGGCCAATGAGGTAGTTTTTCGCGAAGATCTATACCACAATTAGATTGGTATCAATTACAGACCATCCATATGACACTTAAAAACAAAAGTTATAACATCCATACGCTGCATAGGTAACTTTCCCAGAAAGGTAAGAAAAGTTTTCAAATACCCTTTTCTTTAAAGCTTCAATTTTCTTTTATATTTCTGCTCTAAATTTTCCTGTCTTTTGATTTTGTAACCACAATACCATTGAATTAGCATAAACATCGAAAAAGTAATTTTTCAAACGAATAACTTATGGAGAATGCGTCGGAAAGATATTTTTATGGTGATGTCCTCCGAAGAAAACATGCAATGGTGGAATATAGGATTTTGCTATGGCTGTTCTACGACTTACCACCCGCAAAAAAAATTGGAAGACATTTCGTTCTCGGCCAAAAAACGCAAAATTATTACTTTCTCATAAATCGCTTCTTAAATCCCTTTTTCCTTGAGGCTCGACGTAAAGATTTATAGTCTCACAAATTCGACGCAGGTTTTATAATTTCGTCCACATTCTGGAAAACATTCCGTCAGCCCCATTATATGGAAGGGGATATTTTACTTCTCCTTTCTTGTGGGTCCAGCGTACTTGATGGAAATTTGAGTAAAAGGCTATAAGCCAAGATAAACGCTGTGAGCATGGATTATTTACGCCCATTACTCCCGTAGGTGCTTGTGCTAGCGTTACTTAACGATGCCAAGTTTTTTCCGTAGCATTGATAATGAAAATCTGGGAAACAATGAGCTTATTTTAGCGCTAGCATCATTGGGCTGCATGCATGTTCCCTGTTTCGTCGTTAGAATTTCATGTTTTTGAATCTGTTAAGTCAAAATCGTAGAAAGCCACAAAATATGGCTAATTTTTCCAAGATTTCAGACAGTGTTAGGATTTCCAACTGTCGCTAAAATTGCGAACACTTTGTACACTTTTTGTCTGCTTGATGAGCGGATTGGAAAACTAAAGGTAAACAAAATATTGAATGGCACCGAACGACAGTTGTGATCATGTTGATTTATGTTGAATGACCAAATTGTGAGCATCAAGGTTAGAAGGCAAAGAGGTAGCTAAGAATTGTAAAAAATAATTATAAAAAATGGCAATTTTTTCCAATTGATACTCAAATTTACTCTGTGGCTCAATTTACTCTTACAAAAGTAATTTCTGGTTCTCGATCGGCCGAGGTAGTAGTTAATGAAGTATGTTTCAAAATTCAAAATGTTGGTGAAGGGGTGTTCAGAATTTGAATAAAAATGTTGCAGTAATGTTTGTTTTAATGTCATTTTGTCAGCTTGGATTGATCGAGTATGGAAACCTCAGATATGGTTCATTGGAAGACAAATAATCAAGGTAAAAAATGCAAATAGATAGGGAGGAGCATTACCTAGTAGACCACTGTGTATGACGAAGCACAGCTAGGATGGGTTTTTTTAAAAGAAGACTCAGGTGACAGAGGGTTTGGGTGTAAATTTTCCCCCTAGGTTTAGAGCTCTGACGAAATATTTTTATCGTAGTTATAGTTTGGTTTCTTTACTTTTTCCTCTTACCAAGATTCAAATTTCAGAGCGTTACTCTTGTATGGAGTTTATACAGGTATAACTTTTAATTCTTGATTAGTTCTGGAATTTACTTTAACCCTTTAACTCCTATAAGCGACCAAGACAGAATTTCTCCCTACAATATCAATACAAAATAAAGCAGACAAGTGATGAGAATAAAGAAAAATATTAGTTAGAAGATTATTAGTTGATCCCATACCAAATTCTCAAAACTAAAATCACAAGAACTGTATGGCAGACAGTAAGGAGAATTACGAATGAGATCTTGAGAGTTAAAGGGTTAAGTGGGTATAGGAGAGGAGGAGAAGGGGGGTGAAGGCAACAGCAGCTGCATGTTACATTGCGTCACAGAAAAGTCAAGACATTTCATTATCAGGATTTCAAATGACACTTTTCACGAAATGCACAATTTGAGTAATTCTTCACTTGTTGGAATTTCCATATTAAGAATCTTTTGCGTTGGTCTTTGGTAAAACGTCTGCGATTCGTTTGCAACCGTAGCTTGCATCGTTTTAGTGTGCCAAACCTCCTTACTGGGATTATGACAAATGGCACATTTCACATCTGCTGTTTATTCTTTTTTTCACAATTTAATAGCGTGGGAGTTGAGATTTTTTTTTATGCTAATACTTTATTTTGTCTCAGCACTGAAAGATGGTCGCCGATCTTACGAGTGAGACGTTCTGAGTACCGTCTGTTTTGAATTGGATTTCCTCCAAAAGTCCTTTCAGTGCGACTTGGTTGATCAAATACTGAAGGCTTGCCAATTTTCAACGTTTCTTTTTATCGTTCTACGATTGTTCTTTTTGTATTATAATATCAAGCCATAATGGTGAGATACTTTTCCCCTTTCTTTCAATAGGAAACACTACGAGCCCTCCGCTTTCAACCAGCCAATCAGTGGTGCTCGCCAGTTTGGCATCAGTCTATTTCATAATCGTATTTGCTTCCATATTTGGCAACTCCGTGATCATCCACATCATCCGTACAGGTCACTCTTTGAAAACCACCACCAATTACTTTATCCTCAATCAAGCATGCGCAGACTTGATCATTACGTTCACTGTAATGTTAAGCATGCTAGGTGATAACCTATTTCAAAGAAAGTGGTTCGGCGGAGACTGGGGATTACCTATGTGCAGGCTACTGGTGTGGTTTCATTTTCCAGCGGAGTACTGTTCGATCTGGAGCCTCGTTGCCATAGCCGTTGACCGCTATTATGCAGTGGCTCGCCCTTTGCAGTTTTCCCCTTTATCTCACCATACAAGGCTGGTAGTTTCCTTGATTTGGGTGTGGTCTCTGTCTTCAGCAGCTGGAACGATTTCTATGGCCAAACTTATCTTCGTGGAGGGAACTGGCCACTTTTGTGTCGTGGATTATTCTCATGTTGAGCTGTCCGCAGCGAACGTTGTAAGCATCTGCGTGTTGCTGTTTAACTTTGTCGTTCCTCTTTTGGCCATGGCGGTACTCTATTCAATCGTGTGTTCTCGTTTGTTGTCTCGAGAAGTGCCTGGCGATGAAGCTGGTCACAGTGCAAGGCACGCAGAAGCCATGAAGACAGCAAAGAAAGTTAACCGAATGATGATCATCATTGTTGTTTCATTTACTCTATGTTGGTTTCCTTTTTTCATATTTGTTGGTTTGGACAGTTTGCATAAGATTGAAATTCCATATGCAGCACTCAAATTTGTGGTGTGGTTGGCAAACGCTTATAGTGCAATTAATCCTTACATCTACTTGTCATTAAGCGATAAATTTCGAAAGGAATTTATGATTATTCTGAACAAATGTCGGAGCAGTTTTAGCTGTGGGTAAGAATCTTTTATCCTGCTAGCTACTGTCCTGCACCAATAAAATGGCATGGCTGGTATCGTCACTTTTTGCTTCTTTCTTATCTATGACTTTGGGTTTGTGCTTGGAAGCGTACAAATCAAAGAAATTGAAAACTTTTGACTCATGTATAGCGAATGTACTACTTAAGGTACCTTATATCACCACAGAGGCGTAGATCGAGTTTCTATCTCAGTGCAACAATTTCTTTAGCTGTTTTCATAACGATAACGATTATTATGATAAAAACAGTAATGATAATCTTGATAATGATAATATTAATAGCAATGATAAAAATGGGAATATGAAAGCGATCTTCGCAGTGGTGAACACTACTTGAGCAGTAGTGAAAAGAAGGCCTGAAATGAAAATTCAGGCCTGTACGGGATTTAAACTCATGACCTCTGCAATACCGGTACAGCGCTTTACTAACTGAGCCAACCAATCAACTAGGAGCTGGTCATTATGTTAGTTCCAAATAAACCTGTGAAGTGATGAATAAACAACTGTGAATATATGATGACATGATGAAAATAATGATAGTTAAAATTATGATTTTCTTTATTTAATCTCAGTGATGACGCATAGATAACAAACTTATAGTTTGATCGAGCCAAATATGCAATTTCAATACCACTGTAATATTTTGTAAATAAAAAAATTCAAGGTTTAGTTTTAAGATATATTTAAAGAGCATCAACCCTTATGCCTTCCTATTCCGCTATCCCCAAATTTACGTCAGAGAACGTACACTGTGGGTGTTGGATTACAAATATGATACGAAAAGCTAATATATGAACAGAAGTAATAAGACTAATTTTAAATACACCTTATTTCGTTTGTTTAACATATAATACACGCAGATATATTGCGAATTCCGTAATATTTTTTTTCCGAGCCCTGTAGGAACATGGAAAATGTGAGCAATAGATAAAATATTCACTCACATGGCGTGTAGATTATAATAGCTACAATTTAACTGACAACCGACTTTTTTATGGTGGATAAGGAAACCACAAAAGTTTAGCGATACATTTTCTTTCCCTATCACCATGAAGAAATCGAGAGTTTGCTTCGATCTGTTACACACTGGCTCTGTCCACCCAGAATCACAATGAGTACCGACGAACTAACGTATCGCGAATTATTGATTTTCTATGAAATTAAAACATCCATCTTTTGACAAAAGGTTTTTTCAAGAGTCTGCTAATGTCATGTAACTATTGAACGAAAAAAATTACTGATACGTCAAACACTTCAGCCGTCAGACGATCTCATGGTTGCGTCGCGTAGCAAGTGTAGCTATAGTAATTATCACTTATTGAAGAAATAATACTTCCATTCGCTATGCTGGCCAATGAATATGTTCTGCAACTTTTACATATAAATAAAACCATGGTTTGAGTAGCAAGGCAAAGCAGATACTCATTGATATGTCACGACAGGTGCAACTACAGATCGCTCTTCTCCAGCTGGTAAGAACGAAATGTTTTCAAAAAGATTTTACTGCCGGACTGGGTGTTTCTGCTTTTTCAATTTCGGCTGTATCTTGATTTATAACAGATCTCAACGTTTTTGAAATCTGTTTATGATACTGTTCAATAAGTCATTCACTCATGGATAAAAATGAAGCGAGTTTTACTCGATAATGGTAACTATCTTGGTGAAGTCTGAACTCTGTTTAAGTCCGATTGCCAAAATAGAAAAAGAGGAAAAAAAACAGTCAGAATTCATGTAGTATGTAGTAGAAGACAACGCGCTTCAACTGGATCTAACAAGTATTGCTTGATTGAAATTCATTAATTAAAAACATGTTAATCTGACTTTGGACTTTTTGTTGTAAGGTATCATGCTCAGTTATCTTTAAGATAAAGACATTCCACCTCTGTTTTGTTACACCCACGAAGAATTAGTTTTTTTGAGATTGAACTGAAACGTTATATTCCTCTCTGCCTGAGGGGTAGGCGTCCACTAATAGCATTTTTGGCAAATTTCTAACAAAAACCCTAATTAGTAAATACTTAGAGCATGGCGTTTTCGGGAATTGTCATATAGATATAAAGTTACAAGTCCAGTACATTTCCTGTGGTTGCTTATTATGCATGCCATTTCCCACGATGTCAATAACGAACATGTGGTAAACACTGTACGATAGACTTTGTCACAGTTGTGTGTTCTTCGTCGATCTGTGGTCTACTACCTGCCACTATCGCGTTCTTCTGCCTCAGAGACATCTCTTTTTATCGTCCCTGGTCACTCGAAGCCTCAAGGAATTAGTCTGTTAAGGTTTTTCGTTTCAAAATTTAGAACAAAGAAAAACAGAGCTTAACCCTGAAAAGATAAAAATGTAAGTTTATACAGTACTATAAAGAAATGAATTTATAGTTAGCTAAAATTAAGAAAAGAAAGAAAAAGATTTGAAGGTCTCTCCAGTGCAGTTTTGAACAACAGAAAATCGGAGCTTTGATCAACGGTATATCTATTTTTACTTATTGTGTAAGTCTACTTTCTGAGTATGCAAAACATGACATTGAATTGATGTTTCAGAATTTCATATTGAGTATTGTTGGGTAATATTTGCTTTGTATCATTTCATTTTCCGAGCCGAGGTTTCATTGATCATGGAAACTCCATCTATTGTGCCTAAGAAAAATAGCGGTGGAAGTAAGAAAGAGTGTATGAATAATTAGACTTTTTAAAGCAAGTAAGTAAGACTTTCACACCTGGTACGACGTCTTTGCCAAATTGAGTCCACCTTGTTAAAATGTGATAAACAGCACGTACGATTTTCACAGTCAGAGACAAGCGATAATTACTAAATCTTAGGCATGTGTAGAAGTCAACGAGTGAAATGTACATTTTTTTCAGCTGGACTTTCAATTTTCTTATAGTCAGAAAATTCGATGCAATGAATATCAGCGATTAATTAGAGCTCCAAAGAATCTGTTACTGAGGCTACAAAACACACAAATTAAAACGATATCCCCACGAAGCCTTACGCACACTGCAAGCTTGTAGAAATAGCTTTATTCCGCAAGTGGTTCCTAATTTACAACGTTGAATTTAGAAACTCGGCAACAATATAAGAGTCAACAAAACAAATGACCCGCATCTGCCAAACAACGTATTTAACGCCTCTTCAGATGCAATCGTTTGAAAGCTGACGTCTTTTTATACAAATGCTATCTCTTTTCGAGGAAAGGAAATATGGCTGAAATAAGTGTGTGGTTGAGATAACCATAGGTTAATGGTACGAGATACACTGATACACTTAAGCAGAGGTTTTGAAATTTTAAAGCAAGCTGACATACTTGCAATTTTCGTAACTTGTGAGAAATTGCTAGATTATCGATATTCTTAAGCTAGTGCTTCAGAGTGATGTGGCTAAAACCGAGCGTCTTTTTCAGTTCGCTTATTTGCTGATTAGTTTATCTCTCTGATTGGTTTCGCCTTTGTTTGTTTGGTTCTTGTTTGTCACTGACTTAATTAATTCTCTTGTTCGCATAGGAAACACGACAAGCCCTCCGCTCTCTACCAACAATTCAGTGATAATGACCAGTTTGACATCAGTCTACTTTGTTACTATATTCGCTTCCATATTTTGCAACTCCATGATCATCCTCATAATCCGTCAAGACACTTCTTAAAATTCGTCACCAACTACCTCATCCTCAATCAAGCATATGCAGACTTGATCATCACGTTTACCATAATGTTGGGCATGTTGGGGGATGACCTATTCTTCAAGAAATGGTTTGGTGGAGACTGGGGACTACATTTGTGTAGGCCGCTGGTGTGGCTAAATTTCCCAGCGGAATACTGTTCCATTTGGAGCCTCGTTGCCGTTGCCTTTGACCGCTATTTTGCAGGGGCCCGTCCGTTACATTTGTCTCCCGTATTGCTCCATATTACGTTTGTCGTTACTGTGATTTGGTAGTGGTCTATCTTTTCTGTAGCTGGCATGATTTCCATGGCAAAACAAGTTTTCGTGGAAGGAACTGACTACGTTTTGCGTTATTGACTTTTCCCAGTTGTCCGCAAGCAACATATCAGGCTTCTGTGTTTTGGTGTTCAATTTCTCCGTGCCCGTTTTGGCCATGACGGTTTTGCATTCAATCGTGTGCTCACGTTTGTGGTCTCGAGAAGTGCCTTAAGATGAAGCTGGTCAGAATGCGAGGCACGCGGAAGCCGTAAAGACAGCAAAAAAAATTACCTTGATGATCATTGTTGTTGTTTTGTTTACTTTGTGTTGGTGTCCTTTCTTTGTCTTTGTCGGTTTGAACAGTGTACATAAGATTGTATTGCAGTACGCTGCATTTTAGTTTATTGTGTGGTTGGCAAATGCCTACAGTGCAATTAGCCCCTTCATTTACCTGACGTTTGATGAGAAGTTTCGAAATGAACATAAGATTATCATGGAAAAATGCCGTACGAAATTTAGATGTTAAGATAACGTTCTGATATTTTGAGATTTTTTTTTTTGAATTTTCATGATTCGTGGAAAGTAAGCCATTTGTTGAATCCCTTTTTCTTTCGTTATATTGTTATTTAGGTATTTAACTCTTTTTCGTTTAGGGGAAGGTCATCCTGTAGTGGGCACCCAAGAAAAACACAGAACACATTTAAAGTTATGTACCGCCAGTCTATGGTAAATGTGCTGTGTATGTTTTAATGCGACACAACCTGCATTCGTGAATTCGCTACGGTTTGCTTGCCCCTCGTTGATATATTCTTTTTTAACATCCCCTTTTTGTTTGAAAATGCATTGCAAGGAGAAATTCCTTTCCTTCGGTCCTTAAAGTGAAAACGGTAAGAGAAATTCAACTTACGGAGGTTTTCCTCAAAAGGTGTGGCACTTTGTAAAAATTGATATATTTGACTTTAGCTCCCGAATGCAGAGAGGGTAGCGTTCCAGTCAAAATAGGTTCTCTTAAAAGTCATTAATGTTAGTTTTATTTCCCATCATAATAAACGATTTACCATAACATTTGCTTCTACATGTGTAATGTAAATGTCATATTTCACAATGAATTAACCTCGTCCAAATAGGCGTCAATATGACGTAAATCTACAATTAACAATATTTAATACGTAGTTTTCCAGGTTTTCAGGGGCAATTACATAGCCTTAGAAATATTAGAATCGTTTCTACTGGAATTTGCTTTTTGCTCGCAGCCCCAAATATCTTGGTTAAATTTCAAAGAACAAGTCAAAAGTAGGACGCCAGATCACCGGGAGTAACCCATTTTAATTTCAACGTCCAGCGGTTAGT